TAACTTATGGTACGTATGTTGTGTATGTATATATCGATCGTAGAGGCGGGCGAGGTAGGGGTGAACTATGGAATGGTGGCGAACGACCTGCCGAACCCTGCGGCGGTGGTGCAGCTGCTCAAGCAGAACGGCATCACCATGGTGAAGATATATGACGCCAACCCAACCGTGTGTTGGAGTTGTTCCAAATTCACTCCAGGATATAGGCCGGGCTTCTGACGGAGCGGAGCGGAGGCCCGTCACTGGAGGCTTGGGCCGGTACGGTACGGTATATACACCCTTGCTAGGGTTTCGTGGAGACTTGATTCTCTTGTAAGCCGCCATAGGCGTGTAACCCAAAACTCTTGAGATAGTGAGATTGTTGCTGGCTGGTGCCCGTGGTTTTTCCCCTTCACATTGGAGGGGTTTTCCACGTTAAATCGTGTGTCTCCTCTGTGGCTTGATTCTTTACTTTATATTCCTATACGTCGTTCATAACAAGTGGTATCGGAGCTTTGGTTGCTGTTAGGGTTCATGACGACGTCGATGAAGTTCGATCTTCCGCTGCTGAACTACGACACGCGGTTCTCGCTATGTCAAGTCAAGATGCGGGGGATTCTGGCGCAGACTCATGACTATGATGAGGTATTTGGATAGTTTCGGAAAGAGGAAGGCCGAGTGGACTCCAGAAGAGATCCGCAAGGATCGGAAGGCGCTTCGCCCTAATTGATTGCATCTTCATAATGATATTTTGCAGGAGTGTCTAAAAGAAAAGCTCTTTGCAGAACTATAATTCAAATCGAATCGATCAGTATGTCCAAGGATCTAACCAAGAAGATGAGATGAAGATGAAGCTGTTCACCCTTAAGATGAAGGAGGAGGATTAGGTGATGAGCCACATCGCTGAATTCAAGAAGATCGTCCGCCGACCTAGTGTCGATGGAGGTGAAGTATGATGATGAGGACTTAGGTCTTTTCTTCGCTATGTTCTTTGCCAAATTCAGTATGCAAATTTTTGTGACACCATACTTTTGAGCCGTGATGAACTAACCCTAAAGGAAGTTTATGAGGCTCTCCAGTCTAGGGAGAAGATGAGAGGCATGGTGCAGAATGACGGGACGTCGTCCTCCAAGGGCGATGCTTTGCATGTGAGAGGCAGAACTGAAAACAGATCCTCCAATGATGGCAATGATGGAAGAAAGAACTACGAAAGGAGAGGCCGTTCAAAGTCCAAGCTGCATGGTAATAAAAAGTTCGTGTTTATTGCAAGCCGACAAATTCATAATGTTGAGTATTGCAGAAAAGTACAGAATAAGGAGAAGAGGAAAAACAAGTCGGCTGGTTAAGGTCTCGTTCTTTGCTGCTGCGTCGATGATGATTCTCGAGATTGTCGGTAGTATTTCTTTGGTTGTGTTCTTTGGTCATGATGAATGGATTCTCGATTCCGCATGTTCATTTCATATTTGCACTAATGAAATTGGTTTAGCTCAGTATAAGCTTTGTGCGTAAAGGGGATGTTGTGCGGATGGGAGATGATAACCCGTGTGACATTGTGGGGATTGGATCGATTCAGATCAAGACCGATGATGGCATGACACACGACGAAAAAACGCGGTCGGTATATACCAGGGATGTCCAAAAATCTTATCTCATTGAGCACGCTTGATGCACAATGTTACAAATATTCCGGTTCAGATGGCGTTCTGAAGGTATCAAAAGGTTCTCTTGTTTGCTTGAAAGGTGATCTTAATTCTGCAAAGTTATATGTCCTTAGAGGGTGTACTTTACCTGGTTATGATTCCGCTGTTGCTGCTGTTACTAATGATGAACCTAGTAAAACTAACCTTTGGCATATGCGTTTGGGACATATGAGTCACCATGGTATGGCAGAATTGATGAAGAGAAACCTGCTGGATGGCTGCACTTCGAGTAAAATAAAGTTTTGTGAGCATTGTATTTTTGGGAAGCATAAAAGGGTACATTTCAACACTTCTGTTCATACCACTAAAGGTACTCTTGATTATGTTCATGCTGATTTATGGGGCCCTTCCCGTAAGTCCTCACTTGGTGGTGCTCATTACATGCATACAACTATTGATGATTACTCTAGAAGGGTTTGACCTTATTTTCTGAAACAGAAAGATGATACTTTTGTTGCTTTTAAGGACTGAAAAGTAATGATAGAAAGGCAAACTGAAAGGAAGGTAAAATTGCTTCGTACTGATAATGGTGGAGAATTTTGTTCGTGTGAATTTAATGATTATTGCAGATCGGAAGGTATTGTTAGGCATCACACCATACCCCATACTCCACAACAGAATGGTGTGGCCGAACGCATGAACAGAACCATCATGTCCAAGGCCCGTTGCATCTTTGTCTAATGCCGGGATGAGCAAGCATTTTGGGCTGAAAAGTCGCTAATATCTGTTACTTGATAAACAGGTCGCCTTCTATTCCACTAAATAAAAGAACTCCCATTGAGGTATGGTCTGGTACGCCTGCTGATTATTCACAGTTGAAAGTTTTTGGATGCACTGCTTATGCTCATGTTGATAATGGAAAATTAGAGCCTAGAGCTGTTAAGTGTCTTTTCCTTGGTTATAGTTCGGGAGTCAAAGGCTATAAATTGTGGAATTCTGAAACAGGAAAGACTTTTATGAGCAGGAGTGTTGTTTTCAATGAATCTGTGATGTTTCTTGACGGTTGCCCTCGAGATCATGTTCCAGAAAAAAAGCTGCTGCAGCTGTATGCGCATGCAGCGAGTGGAGCATGTTGATGATGATACTGTGTGGTGGAGCTGTTGATGAGCATGGTGACCATGATAATGATGTTCTTTGAGGATGATGCTCATGATGATGTTCAAACAAACTCCTCCTATTTTGCGATTAGAGGAGGATTTATCTATTGCTCAACATAAGTCAAAAGGACAATTGCACCTCCTAAGCGTCTTATTGAAGAGTGTAATTTGTCTTACTATGCTTTGAGTTGTGCTGAACAGGTGGAGAATGTTCATGAGCCAGCAACCTATAAAGAAGCTATTCGTTGTGGTGATACTGAGAATTGGATTTCTGCTATGCATGAGGAGATGCAGTCTCTTGAGAAGAACAGTACATGGGAGATTGTACCTTTGCCTAAGAATAAGAAGACCATCAGCTGCAAATGGATCTTCAAGAGAAAGGAGGGTTTATCTCCAAGCGAGCCTCCAAAGTATAAGGCAAGGTTAGTTGCTAAAGGCTACAGTCAAATTCCGGGTGTTGACTACAATGATGTGTTCTCTCCAGTGGTAAAACACAGTTCAATTCGTACTTTCCTTAGTATTGTTGCTTCACATGATCTTGAGCTTGAGCAGTTAGATGTGAAGACTGCGTTTTTGCATGGAGAGCTTGAGGAGGACATATACATGGACCAACGGAGAAGGGTTCATAGTGCACGGCAAGGAAAAATATGTGTGCAAGTTGAAGAGATCCCTTGTATGGTTTGAAACAGTCCCTCGTCGGTGGAACAAGAGGTTTGATTCATTTATGTTAGCACACGCTTTTTAAAAGATCTAAGTATGATAGCTGTGTTTACATCAAGCATGTTAATGGATCACCTATATATTTGTTGTTATATGTTGATGATATGCTGATTGCTGCCAAGAGTAAGATTGAAATCACTAAGTTAAAGAAGCTATTGAGTAGTGGTTTTGATATGAAAGATCTTGGTAGTGCTAAGAAAATTCTTGGTATGGAAATTAGTAGAGACAGAAAATCTGGTTTGCTATTTCTTAGTCAACAAAATTATATCAAGAAAGTTCTTCAACGTTTCAACATGCAAAATGCTAAGGCTGTTAGTACCCCTATTGCACCTCACTTTAAGTTGTCAGTTGCTCAGTGTCCTAGTACAGATGCAGAGATTGAATACATGTCAAGGGTTCCTTATTCTAGTGTTGTTGGGTCTTTGATGTATGCCATGGTTTGCTCTCGTCCATTTGTCATATGCTATGAGTCTTGTTAGTAGATATATGTCTAATCTCGGCAAAGAACATTGGAGGGCGATTCGGTGGATTTTAGGTACCTCAGAGGCACATCGATTCTGTTTAAAGTTTGGAAGAACCGATAAGGGTCTTATTGGCTATGTGGATTCTCGATTATGTCCTTGATCCGGACAAAGGCGAAGATCACTTACAGGTTATGTGTTTATTGTTTGGCAGTTGTCTTTGTGAGTTGGAGGCTACTTTTACGATCGGTTGTTGCTTTGTCTACTACTGAAGCAGAATATATAGCTATTTGTGAAGCGTGCAAAAGAATTAATTTGGTTTGAAAGGTTTTTGTACTTTGAGCTTTGTGGAGTTGAATCTTGCATAAGTTTGCTTGTGTGAGGTCAAAGTGCAATTTACCTCACTAAAGATCAGATGTTCCATGAGAGAACTAAGCACATAGATATCAAGTATCATTTTGTGCGTGATGTGATTGAAGAAGGTAAGCTGAAGGTATGCAAGATTAGTACTCATGATAATCCTGCTGATATGATGACAAAGCCTGTTCCTGTTGCTAAGTTTGAGCTGTGCTAAAGCTTAGTTGGTTTAATTGGATAGTCCAAGAGATTATTGTTGGCACCAGTGGTTTTCTATCTTTGTTATGTTCAGGATGAAGGGTTGATTTATGATACAAGATGAATTTGTCTCAAGGTGGAGTTTGTTGGAGTTGTTCCAAATTCACTCCGGGATATAGGCCGGGCTTCTGACGGAGCGGAGCGGAGGCCCGTTGCCGGAGGCTTGGGCCGGTACGGTACGGTATATACACCCTTGCTAGGGTTTCGTGGAGACTTGATTCTCTTGTAAGTCGCCATAGGCGTGTAACCCAAAACTCTTGAGATAGTGAGATTGTTGCTGGCTGGTGCCCGTGGTTTTTCCCTTTCACATTGAAGGGGCTTTCCACGTTAAATCGTGTGTCTCCTCTGTGGCTTTTCTTTACTCCATATTCCTATACGTCGTTCATAACATCGTGCTCACGTCGCTGGCCAACACGGGCATCTAGGTGATGGTGATGATGCCCAATGAGAACCTGGCCCGCGCGGCCAGTGACCCGTCGTTCGCGTCCCAGTGGGTACAGGACAACGTCAAGAAGCACTACCCCGCCACGCAGATCCACGCCGTCGCCGTGGGGAACGAGGTCTTCGCCGACCCTGCCGTCGACAAGATGAACCTCGTCCCCGCCATGACCAACGTGCAGAAGGCGCTTGCGCGGCTGGGGCTCGCCAACAACGTGAAGGTGTCCACGCCGGTCGCCTTCTCGGCGGTCACGGACTCGTACCCGCCGTCCAAGGCCAGGTTCGGGGACGACGTCGCGCAGCCGGTGATGAAGCCCATGCTGGAGTTCCTTCAGCGGACCGGCTCCTTCCTCACGGTCAACATCTACCCGTGCTTGACCCAAATGCAGCAGCCAAACAAGATCCCCCTCGACTACGCCCTGGGGAACGCCGAGCACGCCGTGGTCGACGGCAGCAACATGTACCACAGCCTCCTTGACGCCCAGCTCGACGCCACGCACTACGCGATGGAGAAGCTTGGGTTCGCCAACGTGGAGGCGGTTCTTGGGGAGACCGGGTGTCCGAACAAGGGGCACACAAAAAATCACAAACCCCCGCGTGGCGTCGGAAGCAGGCGTCTGTTGGATGACGGAGGCCCGGAGGCCACGGTCGCCAACGCGCAAGCGTACAACAACTACGTCATCAACCGCGTGCTGTCCGGCAACACGGGCACCCCGCACCGGCCCGACGCGGACATGGACGTCTACATCTTCGCCCTGTTCAACGAGAACGGCAAGAGCGACGATCCAGACGACGTGGAGCGCAATTTCGGCCTGTTCTACCCCAACATGCAGAAGATCTACGAGTTCGACTTCCGCGGCGACGGCATCCAACCGGCACCCGCCCCACCGACGGCGAGCTGGTGCGTGGCGAACGCGGCCGTCGGGGACGACAGGCTGCAGCAGGCGCTGGACTACGCGTGCGGCCACGGCGCGGACTGCAGCGCCATCCAGCCCAGCGGGTCGTGCTTCGAGCCGGACACCAAGCTCGCGCACGCCTCGTATGCCTTCAACAGCTACTACCAGGCCAACGGCCGGGCCATCAGCGCGTGTGATTTCAACGGCGCCGCCTCCATCGTCTACCAGGCACCAGCTGGTGAGTACGTCCTAACTCCTAAGTAAATCGATCTGCTTTCCAGTGCTTAATCGGTTGAAAAAAAATTAGCAAATAACACACCTTGAGGTGTTTAGACCACGTGGACATTGTTTGTTACATATGCCCTTGAGAATAATTCCATGCAGAGTTGGAGACTGCATGAGAAAGTTTGACGGGTATAGTGCACTAGTGCTAGTGCAGGCTGCCAGATTATTGTCGCTGACCCAGTGACTGCAGACAAACTTCAAAGGGTCGTTTACTTTGTGTTTGGCCCAGTGATTGTTGCTGACTAGTAGTCCAAATGAAGTCCACAAAACTGAGAGGATGCCGGCCGGATCACCTTGTGATCTTTCTTGCATTGAATAGTTCCAAGACGTACAACACGTCAACATCCCAATCCCACTGATAATTTGTTTCTGTATTCTTGTGGTAATATCGGTTGGTTTCTGTATTTCTTGTTTTCCCTTAGAACTTCATATCAGCTTAAACACCCCTCTGATTCACTCTAGTTTCACCATTGATTTTTATGTATGCTTCCACCTCGTGTGCATTTCATTTATCTTTACCGCTGTGTGACAGACACGTGCAGCAGCGCAAAGCCAAGCTGGTGCGTCGCCAAGCCAGGGGCCGGGGACGCACTCCTGCAGCAGGGGCTGGACTACGCGTGCGGCCATGGCGCCGACCGCAGCGCCATCCAGTCCGGCGGCTCCTGCTTCCAGCCCGACACCAAGGCCACGCACGCCTCGTACGCCTTCAACAGCTACTACCAGCGCAACGGCCGTGCCTAGCTACGGGACCTGCGACTTCAGTGGCGCCGCTGCCGTCGTCTACCAGGAACCCGGTACGCATGCAATAAGTGAATGCATGCATGAAATCGCGCTGTTCTCATCCGGTGTTTGGTCCATTATTATTGATTGTTCACCGAGGCATGCATGCATGTAGGCTTCTGCGCCGCGACGGCAAGCTGGTGCGTGCCCAAGACAGGGGTCGGCGACGCACAGCTGAAGACGGCGCTGGACTACGCGCGCGGCCATGGCGCGGACTGCAGCGCCATCCAGTCCGGAGGGGCGTGCTTCCAGCCGGACAACATGGCGTCCCACGCCTCGTACGCGTTCAACAGCTACTACCAGCATAACGACCGGGCTAGCGTGGCGTGTGACTTCTCCGGCGCCGGCTCCGTTGTTTACCAGCAACCCAGTGAGTTCCACGGTGATTTGCAGTGGATGTTAGTTTGCCTTGCTGCCCCCAGTTTGTTGCCTGAGCCTAACCGCCCGGTGTTTATTCTGTTGTTTACTGCAGAGGTCGGAAACTGTGTGCTCCCATCCAACGGCTGATCAACTGGACAAAACAAAGCTACAACAGTGACGTCTTGAGGCAACGATGATGCTAACATCTCATCAGTGGTATACAGTATGATATCTGGTGTGGGGATAAATTGTAGGGAGTTGCTATATTTCAGTCGCCTGAAATATATGAACCATCTCAGACGACGTTCAGGGCCCTTGGATTTGCATCTAAGGGTCAGATCTGTTCTTTGTTGTTTTTCTGTAGCAGGCAACAAAACGGGTCCGCAAATGAACCCGCAAACCCAACCAAAGTAGCTACCGGGCCCGCCAAACCTTAACGGGTGCAAGATCCGATACCCGCTATATCAAATAACTACTCATTTGGGCCACAAAGCAGTTATTCGGCCCAATAAAACAGTACACAGAAATTACAGCTCTACCACTACACCCTCCAGCAAGAAAGAAACCCCCGATCAATCTGGATCTAGAAGGGGAATTAGAGTGGAGAGAAGAGCGAAAATTAGGTAAAACACAAGAAGATGAACAAGGGCAAAGGATATGATCTGCCTAGGAAAAAGGTACTAACCAGCAAGATTATTCTATTTCTTGCCTTCATCTCGTTTTTCTCATTGCATCAGTTCACTGAAACACCTGGACCGTAACCATCTTGCTTCTGTCTTCTTTGTTGCTGTTGCTATAGCTCTATAGTTATCCAAAGTAAAGTACACTTGTCAAACCAATTTAGATTTCCAATTATAGTGAGGAACAGAGTAGTATGTCAAAGTCACATTTGCATTTTCACAGAGCCTAAAAAAAATAGTAAGACATTCACCTGCATTTAAGAGTAGGATGGTACATCATGAGTTATGTAAACTGCATTTAAGTGGTAGCACAAATCATAACAGTGACCATAGAGCAAATCTAGTGGGATCCATGCCTACATGGTGGTTGATGACTACAAGAACAATGTGTTATGAACCTAGGCAACTTGTATAGGATTTAGGGGCAACTTGTATAGAATTCAGAGGCAACTTGTAAAGGATTTAGGGGCAACTTGTATAGAATTCAGAGACAACTTGTATAGGATTTACGGGGAACTTGTATAGAATTCAGAGACAACTAGTATAGGATTTAGAGGTAACTTGTATAGGATTTTGGGGAAACTTGTAAAGAACTCAGAGGCAACTTGATCACAAATTGATCAGCTCGTGGAATTCCTTGCACATGACATAATTGCCATAGAGGCAAACACCCTTCTTTTTTGCTTGTTTGTTTTGGTTGTAAGTTTAGATGACCACCACAAATGTCACTGCCCACTGGCTGACTGCAATGCAAAAGATCTTTTTACACCTAAAAATAACAGTTTGTTGCATGTTTATGCAGGTTCACAACGAAGGACTGCATCAAATAGGAGATGAAGACTTCTTAAGGGAAATGGGTATTGGATATCATGACACTGGACTGGAACTTACACAATTATCAGAGATAACAGCTAACATACATTGTGAACAGGTTTGAAAAATTGATTTATCTTATTATATGCAGAGTGCTTTGGCAGTGTTGCTTTCACTAATCGGTTTATCTTAATATATGCAGAGTGCTTTAGCAAGAGATTTAGAAGCCAATATTCAAAGTTACTACAATTTTGATTCAAACATTGTAAACCCCAATTATACTAATGAGGTAAATAAAAATTGCAGTTATTACATATTAAGAAAACTACAATTGCAATGCTACAAACTTGTAATTTAGACTATTCCTAATTGTAACTACTGATATTTGAGTTTCTTTTTGTTTGTTTGTAATGAACATGATAGTTCATCAGCACTATTGGATTACAACTATTATGGACAGGATAGTCTTCTTCATATGCAGGGTGTGTCCGAAAGAGAAGTGGAATTCAATCTTGAGAGCTACTACATGTTTCATACAAACATTGAAAATGCCAACAATACTCATGAGGTAAAAAGGAATTCAACTTATAACACATATTGTCAGTGTGACATATATAAGTTCATCAAACCCTGTGCAAAAAATATAATAATAATAATGCAGCAGGCACTACAAGTTTGACTTACTTTGTCTTGCTTCAATGTGTTATTCCACTACTTTGTCTTCCTCTCTATCTCCTTGGCATTTGACTGACCTCATGCTGTAACAGCAGAGCTCAATACCACCAGTGAACTACAGCAGCTATGGACAAGAACAAGAAATGCAGAGACAAGAAGTGAGATTCCTAAAACTCGCATTTCACAATTTTTTTTAAAAAATGGGTACTAATAAAAGAACTAAGATTTTATTGTAATGGTGAACCCCAAAATTTGCAGGTGATCATGTCACCAGGAGGAACAAGTTATGTACTATCACAGGGCGGATCAAGCTATACAAGCCTTATAAACCAAGTCATAGCTCAGGCTAAATCTTCAAATCAGAATTATGAAGAATTTTTATCATCTGAAATGACAGGAAGTTTCATGGACCTACTCAATGAGCCATTTCCACTAGAGGTATTTACTCGTTCTCTACATATACAGCTAAATTACTTTGTTTGCTATAATACAAGATGAAATATCTAACAGTACACCTTTTTCCTTACCGGTGAAAATAGAACCGGATGTTCATCACTACCAACAGAATCTATGAGCCGCCACAAGATGATGCAGACGGCCTGCGAAATGAAGAATCAGAAGCAGTACCAGAGTTTGCAAATGAAGAAAATATGGTACATGAGGAAAGACAAGATGAACAAGGCAGTGAAGGGGAGCAAGATACAGAGGGCAACAAGACAAAACAACATCTAGTAGCAAGTGAAGAACAAGATGAAGAAGAGCTCAGGGCAATTCAGATTGAAAGCCAAAGTATTATGGCAGCTGAGCGTTTGTCTCACGAACATGCTAGCAGGCATGTTCCTCAGCTAGGCATGAAATTCAAAACAACAGAAGATGCGTACAGTTTCTACAATGACTACGCATTTATAGTCGGGTTTTCATTGGTCAAATGGCACACATACAAGTGCCAAGACAAGAAAGATCACAACTATGGCCAGGTAACAAGGGTCACATACAAGTGTAACTTGTCTGGTAAGAGAAAGGAGGATGATAGCACTGATGTTTCAGGAGTACGAAGCACAAGAAACAACAAAAGGAAGATTTCTGTTTCAGGAGTCCAAAGCGCAAGAAAGAACAAAAAGAAGATTTCTGGTACACCGCCAACACCTAATCCTGTGCCAAACAAAAGGAAAACAAGTACGCTTGTACCAACCGAGTGCCCCGCTTAACTTGTTGTCACACTACAGAATGGAGAATGGACAATAACCAGGTTGAATCTTGAGCATAATCATGCGTTTGCAAGCAAGGATCAGAAGAATAAACTGTTTTCACAGATTAGGATGACTGAAATGGAGAATGAACTTATTGCAACATTCAACAAAGTGAACCTACCAGATAGAAAGATTATGGCAGTCCTATCTTATATAAGAGGGGATGTCACTCCATACAACAAGAAACATATCAGCAACGAGAAGACAAAGATAAATAAGGCAACATCGGATAATGACATGCAACAAGTGTATGACTGGTTCTCTAAGAAACAGGCTGAGGACCCAATGTTCTTCTACAAGTTTTCCATAGATGAAAACAACAAAGTGAAAAATATTTTCTGGTCCAATGGTACAAGCAGAAGGTACTATGAGGAATTTAGAGATTGCATCAGTTTTGATACAACCTACAACACAAACAAGT